TCTTCCTGAATTCAATATTTGCTCCGAAATAGTTTTTAAACTACTTTTTAAAGCAGCTTTGTTGAGATACAATTCACACACAATCGAACTCACCTACATAAACAGTACAATTCAATGACTTAGTTTAGTATATCCACAGTATCGTGTCACCATCCCCACTATCAATCTTAAGACATTTTCATCACCCCAAAGAGAAACTTCATACTCATTAGCAGTCTGTCTTTGCTTGGGCTGCTGTAACAAAATACGATAGACTGAGTGGCTTACGAGCAACAAGAATTTATTACTTACAGTTCTGGAGACTAAGAAGTCCAAGATTCAGTGTCTAATGAGGGCCATTTCCTCATTCATAGATAGCTGTCATCTTGCTCTGTCCTTAAAATGAAAAGGGCAAGAAGACCCTTCGGCTCTCCTATTTCATGACCTAATCACCCCCAAAGGCCTCATCTCCTAATATCATCACCTTAGAGATTAGTAGTTCAGCATATGGATTTTTTAGGAACATAAACATTCAATCTGCCGCACAGTTGCTTCTCCCCAAATCCCCAGTCTTAGGCAATCACGAATCTACTTTCTTACTCTACAAATTTGCCTGTTCTTAAGCCAGCAGATAGTATAGCAGTTTCGTCACTGGACTCCCACACGACCGACCACAATTCAAGTCCCTGACTCGGTGGTTTGAAACTCACGCCAGCTGCATGTGCAGGTGCATGTGCATGCATACCCAAGATCCCAAGAGGAGAATGGAGAAGGGATTGTGGCTTGGCCATCCCCCCAGGGGTGATTTCTCACTTTCCCTCTCACTTCTCTGTCTTTTTCTTTCTTTCTCTGTGTATTTCTCTCTCCAGCAAGCTCACACATCCCAAGGCAAAAACCTCTACCCCCCCCAAAAAAAATAGCTATTTTTTATAATCTGTGGTCTTTAGTGATGGCTTCTTTTACTTACTATCATGGTTTCAAGGTTTATCATGCTGTATTTCATCCCTTTCGTGACACAATGCTGTTACATTATGGCTGTACCACATTCTGTTTGCCCATTCATCACTTGATGGAAATTTGAGTCGTTTCCCCTTTTTGACTATTACAAATAAGGATGCTGTGAACATTTGTGTGCAAGTTTTTCTGTGTGTTTTTCTTTTTTTTAGTTTTTAGGGTTTTCTTGCTATAGGGCACATGCACTTGCCAGAGAGAGAGAGAAAGTGAAGTCACACAAACACACCCACACTCCAGGGGGGATGGCAACATCTATAATCCCTCCTATATTCTCTTCTCCGAACTTTGGGCACACACACATACACCCGCCATGATTTTCAAGCCGCCAGTTCCAGGACTCAAACTACAAATGTGGCCATGTGGGAAACAGCAGTTAGCGTAATGGCTATGTCGCTGGACTCCCACATAGTCGACCGCGGTTCACGTCCCAGACCCGGTGGCTTAAAACTCACGCCGGGTGCGTGTGTGTGCGTGCCCAGGATCCTGAGAGGAGAATGGAGGAGAAGGGATTGTGGCCTGACCATCCCCCCTGGGGGGTGATTTCTCGCTTTCTGTCTCTATGTTTCTCTCTGTCTGTCTGGCGAGCGCACGCGCCCTATAGTGAAAAAACCTCTCAAAAAAAAAAAAATGTGGCCATGTGAGATCCAACACCTTAACCTTCATGCCACCTGCAGACTCTCGGGTACAAGGTTTTATGTGAACATACATATTCAGTGCTCCTGGCTAAATACTTCTTAAGGGTGCCTAACTACATTTTTTGCATATTATTAATTCTCAAATTTCATTGAATTGTTTAATACTTTTGTTTATTATTATCAAGGAGCATGTTTCAAACTAAATTATCTTTCAATCTCCACCCCCTGTCTCATTCTGCCAGGATTTACTAATATAAACTTAAAATCATGTTTCTCCTGCCAAGTCATGTTCAGTCTTTCACCAAGTTCTGATCATCTTCCCTTAAATGCCTCACATTTCTGCCTATTTTCTCATCTCACCTAGTTTAGGCCCTTGTAATCTCACTTGTGCATTGACCTCTCAGTTGGCCTCCCTGGCTCAGTCTCCATCCTTGCCAATTGACTCAGTGAGCCCCTGCCAAATTAATCTTTCTGAAACGCTGCTTCTATTTTGCCGTTCACTGAAGTCAGACAGACCAGCTTAGCCACTTACTCAGCTGTGTTTCCTCAGATAAGTTACTTAACTTCTCATCTGTAAAAGCTTAATCAGATCACGACCTAACACTCTAGTAAAAATGAATGATTACCCTGGGTTTCTGTCTCCCAATAGGAAAATGAGATATCATGATCCCATGTTTATACTGGGGTTGGGAAAGTCATTACGTATTTTTCTATGTTATTCTACACAAATAAGGTGCCGTGACTTTTCCGACAGTCCAGTATATCTTGTGTCCTGTGGGGGCAAAGATCATTATTATAGTAGTGTGTATGTTTGTGTGTGTATATATCCAAATGTATACATTTGTATTTTGATAAATTTATTATAAAAACATAAATTTGTAATATAATTGTACATGATAAAGACATGATTTTTTTAAAATATAATTCTATTTTATGTTGGAGGGGGTATGTCCCAGCACTGATTGCAGCCCTGTGTGCTTAGTGGGTGATCACTCAATACATGTTTACTAAGTAAACTAATTCACTGATTTTTCTGCTTAATCTGGTTGTTGGAATAGGTGGTAATTATAGGGGATAAGTTAACTTTTTAAACCTGACATATAGTTCTAGAACAGAACATAGGAACAAGCATAACATATTGAATACTAGCTATTTCCCTGGTAATATTCTTCAAAAGGTCACTTTATGAACATGGAAAATTCCTCTACTAATCAAGAAAGATAGCAGCTAGATCATAGCTGCAGGTCAAATGCAGGTTACAAAGGTGTTCTATAGGGTAGCCCATGACTTCCTTGTCTTTTCAGTACAATGAAAGTATTGTTACTAAGTGAAGTCTTTCCTCTTCCATTATGCATGAATCATTTCCTTTCTATAACAGATATATTCATATACACTTCTCTGCTAGAAAACATACCATACTTCTAAACGTAGTTTTCCACTGTTCATTGAGATTATGAATATTTATATGTTCTTTTAGTTATTTGTGTAAAGAGGCATAGAATCTGAAATTTAGTCCCTTTTGTTACTTGGCCAGAAAAAAATCATCTCTCTGATAACATTAATGCATAGTAGGTTTTTCGTTCTGTTTTGTTTGGGGTTTTTGCAAAATTACATATAAAAGAGGGAGTGGTACTGCCAATTTAGAATTAGTTAATCTTTGGAAAATTAGGCATTCATCCTTTAGAAAATTATTTCTTTTTGAGATTAAGTTGTAAGAACTGTAATGTGTACAGGAAATATATAGTGAACCCAGAGGAAAGACTAAGCTTACGTATGATTTGGGAGCTCACCACATGGTGACAAATGGCCCCTTCCTTCCTTGTCCATCAGGTGAAATCCTTCGTCACCATCTGGTATAAAATTGGTCAAGAGCAAGAAAGATATGATTGGGATTGTGTGTGTGCACGTGCATGTTTAGTTACCAGTGATTGTAGGTCTGCTATAAACTGAGTATTCTAGTAGATGACAAATCTGCAGTTAGTGTAATGGCTATGTCACTGGACTCCCATGTAGCTGAACGCGGTTCAAGTCTCGGACCCAGTGGCTTAAACTCATGCTGGGCGTGTGTGCATGCATGCCCAAGATCCCGAAAGGAAAATGGAAAAAGGATTGCAGCATGGCCATCTCCCCAGGGGGTGATTTTTCACTTTCTGTCTCTCTGTCTCTCTCTGTCTTTCTGGCAAGCGCACGCACCCTATAGCAAAAACCTCTCCAAAAAAGAAAGAAAGAAAGAAAGGTTGATGTCTAGTAGATGATAAATCTATTCTCACTTAGTTAATTCTATGAAGTAGGTGTCATTATCTCCATTTAACAAATGAGGGAACTAAGGTTCAGAGACATTAAGAGACTTTCCTAAGGTCACACAGAGAGAAATGGCTAAGGGGGGATTTTCCCCCAGTGCAAGCCCTCACCATAGTCTTTGCTCTTGGATTTTTAAAAAACATGTTAGCGTTGAAAAACACCTGTTAATATCATGTATTGAGCAAGGAATTAGGAGCACTTACTTGTGTACTATAAATGTATACAAAGCAAACTAATAACTATGCCCCTCTTACAACCAAGCACTAGGACAAGGGTTATGGGAAAACCTAGAGAAGTTCCCACCTTCGAAGGTCTATTTGAGGAAATGTTAGAAATGTCACAAAAATGAACTAATTTAATTGTCTATTAAATGCTCAGTGTAGACAAGGAGGGCTATGTGTTTAAGGCACAATTGCCTCTAAAGCCCAGAGTTAAGAATTTGAGCTTGTAATACTTAGCTACCATAATACTGGGAGAAAGCAGAGTTGGTAGAATCAGAAAACACACCCAGAGGGGGCTTGCTGCAGCCTTCGGGGCAAATGGAAGGAGACAGAGCCCGGAGGATGTGCAGTGATTGCAGAATGGTCTGGAAAGGGGACTCTAACAAACGTCTCACTGAGAACAGTCAAAGAAGCCCACCGAGTTTGAAGCTAGGACAGTGATGACTTACCGCCTATTACAAAGTTAACTTTGAAAGCCAGACCAGTAGAGGAAACCCAGGCCTAGGAATGATGACAGCAATGTCTCATGGGCCACGTATATATGGGGAAACAAGAAGGTTAAATGGAGTAAGAATGTATTTCTGTCACCTTTTTACAGTGACTGAAAATAGAACGCCCATGACTGTAAAATATGGCTGTCAGCTACCACCCAGTATTCGTGAGCAATCCTTGCCATGAGTGAAATGCAAGGAAAACCTCCATTTGCCAAAGGAAAGATGTTTCAATTCTTTCCCTCTTCTCCCCCCCGCCCCCCAAAAATGTCTTGTTTCCTGTTAAGTGACGATAATGACAAATATGAGTGAAATGTAACCTGAGAAAATAGGTTTAAAATGTACCTTTATTCTTTTAGGCCTCTTTTCCGTGGAAGTTCCGATGTCGATCAACTAGGAAAAATCTTGGAGTAAGTATTCCCCATAATCACACACCAGCTTCCATAGCATTAAAACATTTACAGTGAATTTCCTCTGACATTCATGTAATATGTGTATCTCTTATCTTTCTTACCCCAAGCTGCCGCTGCAGACAGTGTTACTGTTTGTGTGGTGAGTGGGGACATGGTCGAAGTACTGTTTTATGCAGAACCCCTCATGACATCTGCTCTGCTCCAAAAGCTTGTATGTGGCCTGTGTGGAACTTTTTGCTGCTCCTCTCTCTTTGCTTGGCTGAGCTCGAGTTCTTTAGTTCAGATATGTTCTCTGCTTGTGGTCATGTCAAATGCACCCACCCTCAGAGGTGGGCCGCACGGTAGCCTAATGACCTGTCCTTGTCCAGTGGGCTTCCTCTTCCCATTGAGAATCCCTGGGTCTGTTTCCTCTTATTTTCTGGGGCCCAGGATGGTATGCTTCACAATTCCATTTGTCCAAAATAGGAAACGAGGATCTCAGGTTCCGATCCTAGGTCTGTGGCTAAATAACTTTGCCACCTTGAGAAAGTTATTTAAAATAACCCTGTAAAGGGCTTACACAGTGCCTAGCACATGGTAAGTGCTTTAAAAATGTTAGCTGTTCTTGTCGTTATTATAATTCATCCTCAGTTACTTAACCTTTTTGCTCCTTAACTTCTGCATCTGAGAAAGGAAACTCTGACTTCAGTTCTCTCTAAAGATCCTTTCTTGTGCTCAAATTCTTCAGTTTCATTTGTCTGTTACATAGCTCCTTGGTGATTTGCATAGTTCTGTCCATGACTACATGTTTGTGCATGTGAGGGTATGTATGTGTGCTTTTATGTTTCTAGAATGTAAATGGGGTGTTTCTTCTCACAAAGCATGCAGTGTGGCAGCTTTTTTTTGGATTTGTGTGTTTGCCAGGCCCCGTCCGAATAGGGGTGGAGTAGGAAGAAAGTGGGAGTTCTAGACCAAAAATAGCCCTGATAGTCTGTGAATCCCATTTTACTGGAATCCCAGTGACTTATGAAATTTGAAGTCTGTAAGACTGCAAAAAAGTGCCCCTAAAGAACTGAATTATATTTTAGCACCATCTACTCAGACATGGCTGCTCACATTAGTTGGAATAAAACTGGAGCCTGGCTTTGTTCTCTTGGTGACTGGAACCAGCTCCAGTGACTTTTGTTAGTGCCAGTGCTACCTCTGAGTCAGAACTTGGTAGCATTAAGGCCTAAAGAACCTTTTTTATTTTTTTATTTTTTTATTTTTTTGATCTGGGGGCTTCCTGAATCCAAGGCACCTAATGCTGCTGCTGCTGCTGCTGCTGACCACTCGTGGATGGGTATTCCATGGTCAGATGGACAAAGTCAACACAAAGCCTTCGTGTTACCTCTGCTTCTAGAGGTCAAGTTCTTTGATCATTCAGTGATGAACTCTCAACTGTTTTTCCCCATGACCACTATGTGTGATCTTGAAAAGGGAACTGTGAAAGTCAGACATACCAGTGACCCTCTATTAAAAGGAAAGACAATCTTCACTGAAATCAGCTTGCCAGGCGTTAAAGGCTATCACTTCATTTCTCCTACTTCTGTCACTTGGGAGTCCTAGTCACCCCAGCACTGACGTCTGTGATCTTGTTCACATCGTTAGTACCCCTTAGCACATGAAGCCAGTGAGACAGGCCAGAAGGAACATTTGACCAGCAGGCTTGACTGCCTTCCAAGGAAAAGCCAGTTCCACTTTTGGCAAAAGCTTGACAACCCTAATTTGCCAGCAGAAAAGAAGCCATAAAGTTCTATGTTTTGTGCCTTTAGATTTTACTTCTTGGCTTCTGGCATTGTTTCATCATCATTATGTTCTATTTCCTCTGAATGCATTACCTTGCCAGAGAAAAAGGACAATGCTGCACCCTAGTGTCACTGCGAAAGTACATGAAAAATTTATTTCCATCTTGGCCATTACTGCTACTTATAGGTTTTATGGCCTGTCAGTCTTTCCAGTATAAATAAAAAACTTTTAAGGCTTATATTTCACTGTCCAAATAGTGCAATTTGATGCAAGCACTTTTTAATGAACCTATCAGAATTTTACAACACTCATATATGAGCTGTAAAAGTTCATACTGGACAGGAAACTGAGTTTTTTGTTTTGGGGGGGTTTTTGTGCTTTTTTTTTTTTTAAAGGAAAGTCATAGTCTCAGACTTTTTTTTTTAATTCTTTCTTTTTTTTAAATAAAGGTTTTTGCTATAGGGCATGTGCACTCACCAGACAGAGAGAGACAGAAAGACAGAAAGTGAGAAATCACCCCCCAGGGGGAATGGCCACGCCGCCAGGTCCGGGACTCGAACCACGTGGTCGACTACGTGGGAGTCCAGCAACATAGCCATTACCCTAACTGCTGGTCCCAGTCTCAGACTCTTGAAGGGAAAAATGTCTCTGTGTTTAGAAAGATTCATACTTTGAGAGAAGAGCAAGTATTTTGAAAGTGAAACAATGCATTTAGCCAATAACATTTTAGAGTATTTTTAAGACCCATATCATAGTCAAATGGAAAGAATTGGATTTGGAATAAGGAGAGCTGGGTTCACTCTGAGCTCTGTGACTGAACTTGCTACATAAGACTTTAACAGTTTATTTTATTCCTCATTCTAATTTTCCTAAATCTATAGAATGGGAATAATACACTAGGTCTACATGTCTCAGGAGGTCTTCATGGAAATCAGAGGAATTAAAAGACTTAATGTTATACATACATAAATTCATATGTGTGTGTGTGTATGGTGTGTGTGTGTGTGTGTGTGTGTATGTGTGTGTGTGTGTGTGGAGACAGAGAGAGAGATGCTATTTCTCTGAAGGTACCTGGCATTCAGTTGACCAGATTTGCAAGATTTAACTCAATATAAATATATTCAAAGCTGCAAATAAAAAGATTTTAAATCATTTCTAAGAGTCGCTATGATCAATATCTAGGTGAATAGCGGTGATAGGCAAAAAGTACTGGTGTGAAAGGGGACTAAATGCTATTTTTTTAAGGTCTTTTTTTTTTTAAGAATTATTTATTTATTTATTCCTTTTTTTTTTTTTTCTTTTTTTTTTAATTTGACCAGAGAGAGAGAGAAAGCGAGAGAAAGGGAGGAAGCTAGCCACCAGGGCTAGGACTCAAAGCATGGTCAGCCATGTGGGAATCTGGCACCTTTAACCACCATGCCACCTGCCGGCCCAATTTGAAGGTCTTTAATAAACATTTTTCTTCCTCTATTCTGTTCTAATCTGTCCAAATATACACACATGCATATTCCTGTCATAATTAATTGTGGTATTTTTGTTTGTTAGTTTTCTTCTTTTTACTCCTCTTGTAGACCTTGCTATTCAACAAATTGGTGTATTGCTTAAGTTGTCATTTCTGTTTATTGGTTCCAGTAAAAATGCCCTTGGCTCTGCCTTTGTCTGCCTCAATAATGTGGCTCCGGATGTGGCATCTTGGGATGCCCAGCAGGGGCAGAATTGATTGTCTTACTTCACACATGTAGTCACAAGTGAAGTGGAGAGAGGGGCATCTGCTAGTCCCAGGCAAGGTCTGTGACCTGTTTCTGTCTAGGTAAGGGAGAGGGAAACAGAGCCCTGCAGATCCTGTGACATTTACCATCATGTCTCCAGGAAACCTGGAAATACGTCCGTGAGAACACCCTTTCCAAACCTTAGTCCAACCAGTGCAGGTCAATGAGAAGACCCTAATGCAGGCCAGCACCTTTTCTACTGGACTTGAAATAGTTTGGTCTAGTATTTGAATAGCTACATATCCTGACCACTTAACTGTGGGTTTTTTAGTTCAGAGTTACCCAGAGTCTGAGATACAAGTATCAATACCTGCAGCCTCTGATTCCCCTATCAAATCTACTTTCCTCCTATACGTAAACTATAAGTAATGTCTACATAATATGTAAATTATGTAGGGCCACTAAGCTATCGATATGCTGAAGAACCTTACATTATACATAAATAGGATTCTAGCAGTTCATGGTTTTAGTGTGGTAGTGATGTATTTCCTATGCATTTCGGATTAATAACATCATTTTCTTACTATGATAATAATAATGGATAACATAGAGATGCTGGCTGTGTGTTATACAGTTTCCATAATTTATGATCATTATGTTATATATAAAGACTTTGAGAGTCATAATAATTGATGGTATACAGTTTGTCCTTACCTACCAGTAAGTGACAGGTACAGAATGTGAACCCAGGACTGTCTGTTTCCTCAGCCTGTTTTATTATCACTTGCTGTTCTCTCCACATACCTGATCCTAGAACAGTTTCCAAGAGAAATATAAATTATATTATTTTAATTTGTTGTTTGCTGACTTTGGAATACCATAACTTCCTTTAAAAAATAGTGTTTGCATAAAACAGGACTAATAATACCTTTTAGCCTCATTTTCCTGCTCAGTTCTAATGTATATGTTTACTGCTTGGGGAATTTGTCCTTAATCAAAACTGCAACACTATCGTTGTACTAACTAGCCACACTGGGTGAACATCATAAAAGCGTGTTGATACTAGAGTATTTGGTCAGCACACAGAAAGCACTCTTGGGCGTAAAGGAAGGTATCATATACCCATGTGGATCTCCTTTGAAGACAGTAGGTCCAGCCTTGTCAGAAATATATTTTTCATTTCTACATCCTCTCTTAACATTTAGAATCTGCTGCCAGAATCTGCTGTTCTTGCCTCCGAATCTATTTTCTCATTGTCCTGTGAGATTGCCCTTTACCCCATGACCACTGTACAAAACAGACTCTACTGGTCATAAAATGAAGATCTCCTGGAGTTCTGCATCCCCTGCCTGCCTTTTTGATTTTTGCTCTTTTCTTGAATTTTGTCACAAAAATGCACATGTTCTTGTGTGATTCTTTCATAGTGTAATTGGACTTCCTGGAGAAGAGGACTGGCCTAGAGATGTTGCCCTCCCCAGGCAGGCTTTTCATTCAAAATGTGCTCAGCCGATTGAGAAGTTTGTTACAGATATTGACGAACTTGGCAAAGACCTACTTCTGGTAAGTTCATGCGACACAGTTGTCCCACCGGTGCCGATGAAAGACACAGCACACACAGGGTGGCCAGCACAGATGTCTGTGCAGTCACTGCTATGGCCATCACGTGCCACCGTCACACAGATGGAGGCCTCTCCAGAGGTTTTCCCCCCACACCTATAGCAGCTGGTGGCTTTATTTTCTAATGTCTTTCTGATCCCCACTCTTTAAATCCACCATCGTTGGTGGTTTATATGAATGAGGTCTTAAAAGGCTCTCGGTTCTCTTGGACATACGCTTCTTGAGAAATAAATATTATCTTAACTTGTTTATAGTTTCGTGCTACTTTAAGCTTCTTGTTTGTTATTTTAATGTGCCTTTTCTTAAATAGTCACATTTTAGGAAAGGTGTTTTCCCAAAGAAGCAGTACTCTTTCTAGTTTCCAATTTAGTTAGTGTTTAATGCACAATGCATGTGCAAAATGCCTCACCTCACCCAGCATAAGGACTTCCCTGCTGTTTGAGACTCAAAATCCTAATACTTGACCTTGTATATAATTGCCCGTGTTTACAGACCAGAACAGTAGCTAGAGGAGTGTATCTATGAAGATGCTATTGGTGTCTAGGGGGACCAGCAGTTAGCATAATGGCTATGTCGCTGGACTCCCATGTAGTCGACCACGGTTCGCGTCCCAGACCCGGTGCCTTAAAACACGCCAGGCGTGTCTGCATGCGTGCCCAAGATCCTGAGAGGAGAATGGAGGAGAAGGGATTGTGGCGTGGCCATCCACCCTGAGGTGTGATTTCTCGCTTTCTGTCTGTCTCTCTCTGTCTGGTGAGCGCACGTGCCGTATAGCAAAAACCTCTCCAAAAGAAAAAAAAAAAAAGATGCTATTGATGTCTAGAACTCAGTGAGTAATGAGTGTATTCTTTACCTACTGAATTAACAGCTTTGACACCTGCATCAGCCTGTGGGTCAAGTACAGGTCTTTTCCATGTGTCTCATTCTGAGGCCAAGGCCAAAGAGGCAACGGCCTCCCTGAGGTATATTTTCCTTATGGTAAAGGTGATGGGTGGTCCCAGAAAGGCAAGAAAAAACATACAATACTTCTTAAGGTATAGGCTTGGAAAAAGCACTTCTGTCTACATTCTTTAGCCAAAACAAGTTACAAGGCCAAAGCCAACTGTAATGGAGGAAGAATGTTTCTCTGGTAGAGGGAAGGGAGAGAAGGGAAATATGTGCTGAAAAGTTATTCCAACTCCCACAGTATTCATCTCTTGACTAAGTCGTGATTCCAAAAGTTCATTTTATAAGTCAGTTATTTGGCAATCAAATTAAATTTTCTTGCAGAAACTATCATTACATAAGCTTTTTGAATTAATTCTCAAGCCAGCCATCTCGTTCTGAAAGTAGAGCAATAATAAAACTTAATTGCCATTTCTAACGATGTTTCTATAGGGCAAAATGTATTAAGACTTCCAACTTGACATTTTCACACACCCTATGTTTGGCCAAGGACTTCTTCCCTCCCTGTCCTCCCAGCTTTGCACCATCATCATACATGGAGGGAAAGCGTTTCCTCGCAGATAATCCTCTATCTTGAGTATATTCCCACAACTCTTTTCTTTCCTGTATCCTGGGATTAAACTGGCTGTTTCTTTTCTTGTGCCACAACCTCATTTTCTCCTTCTTGGACCCTGGGAAGAGAGGCTTGGGTTCACAAAGTTTGCCTCTGTTTTCCTGTCCTTTGGGAATTCAGTCCTTACAAGTTCGTCTAAAGATGTTTACTGACGGTAGAGATAGTAGAGCCATTCCACAAACGAGCACTTTCCTCAGCTTGCCCTTTAGCCCTTTGATTTTTTAGGAGACTGTATAGGGAGATTAGGATTCATAGACTAGTGCAGAGCTCAGGGTACATAAAATTTCAGGGCACCCAAGAATTCACCAGAGATTATATGTAGAATTTTCTATTTGTATGTTTTTTTCCCTAGCTCAGTACCTTCAAAAGTACTGGGGGGGGGGGGGCGGGGGGGGCAAAAAAAAAGCAAGAAGTGGGGGGGGGGGGGGGGGGGGAGGTGGGCGCCGCTCATGATCCAGCGAGACTTGATCAGGACTGTGAGCAAGAACCCAGATTCCGTGGGTTAACCATGCTAATGCTAAGTCTTCAGAGTACCTAGAGGGCTGAAATTCCTCCTCACAAGGCTGGAGAAGCTGGTATAGCTCCCCTGCTACTTACAGCTCTTAGATCAGGGAGATAAATCTATCTCGGCAGCTGCCTATAGGCACCCCCCGAAGGTGTTGCCTTTTTCCAGGACACAGTTTATACATTGGTGACACGTATGAGTACTATCTACATATGTTTTAGTGTCCCTTGCGATAAATCTTCATTCTCATTACAGATACATTTATTACAGGGCAGTGTATAGATAGAAAGCTATGTAAGCATATGTTTACAGTGACCTGTTTTATATCAATGTATTCTTTTCTTCTTTATTACAGAAGTGCTTGACATTTAATCCAGCCAAAAGAATATCTGCCTACAGTGCCCTGTCTCACCCATACTTCCAGGACCTGGAGAGGTGCAAGGAGAACCTGGATTCCCACCTGCCGCCTGGCCAGAACACCTCAGAGCTGAATACAGCCTGAGGTCTCAGCAGCTGCCTTGAGCTGATCATCCAGAGAACACCCTTGGTGGCTGCGGGGTCCTCTGAGCAAGCCCTGCAGAGCTGTTGAGGGTCGCTGAACAGAGGCCCCAGCTGCTATCTTCTGGATGGGCTCTGCTTCTCAAAGGAAACCGCCCTAGTTTACTGTTTTGAAATCAATGCAAGAGTGATTGCAGCTTTATGTTCATTTGTTTGTTTGTTTGTCTGTGTGTTTCAAGAACCTGGAAAATTTCCAGAAAATGAGAAGCTGCTGACCAATTGTGCTGCCATTTCATTTTTCTAACCTTGAATGCTGCCAGTGTGAAGTGGATAATCCAGGCACAGCTGAGTTATGATGTAATCTCGCTGCAGCTGCCGGCCTGATTTGGTACTTTTGAGAGACAGAGAGAGAGAGACAGAGACAGAGAGAGAGTGAGAGTGTGTGTGTGTGTGTGTGTGTGTGTGTGTGTGTGTGTGTAGAGACTGATTCGGTAATCTCTTAAAGTGTTACTTTTTATAAGTGACAAAAATAATTGAATTTTAAAGACTCAAGGTGACCAGTGAATAACAGGTGTTTTGTTCCCTGAAAGTAATTCACCAGAATGGTCCTCTCAAATTAGAAAGTTGAGCCTATGTCCTCAGCATTTCTTTTCTGGCCAAAAGCAGTAAATTTGCTAGCAGTAAAAGATGACATTTTATACATGCAGCAAAATGAAAAAAAAAAAAAAAAAACCTTAGTATCTTTTAAGAGACCTGTTTTGTAAAGCATGCGTTCTAGTTACTCTTTGAAAAGCTGAATTTACTCATTATAAGTCTATTTTAACTTTCTATATAATATCATGCTTTATTGTTTCTTTTAGAAAATACCCAATAAGCTTTTTATTACTTGCTATAGATGTAGAGAGTATACCTCAATTAGGTTAAAAAAATAGAGAGACGTCTTTATTTCCTCGTTTGAGATTTATTTCCTTTTTGGTTTTTTGTTATTTTGTTTTTAGTTTTAGGGACTTGTCAGAAACTGTCTTCTGCTTTGGTTTGGAGAGTAGTTCTTCCAGACTAGAGTCAGAATTACCATTTAAATCGTCCCCACCTAGTACACTGTACTTCTTGCATGCACTGCCTTGTGTGCGAAGCAGCGCTTATCTCTCCCGGCACCTCCGAGATAGAGCGCCACCATGACATAACTAATAACAGATTGCTTATGCCATTCCCATGCACCACCTGCTTGCCTTCTCTCAGTGAACCTTTCACAAATACACAGTTTCAGATTAGGGTTTATGGCTTCAGTTCTGCAATCCTAACTGTTCTCCCTCTGACGTGACCTTCCTGCCGGGTGTTCACTGTTATCTAGACATTGAGTAGGGTACTCTTTCTGCTCTTTTACCAGCACCTAGGTTCCTATAAACTTACTCAGTGCTTTACCTTTCTATGGAATACACTGTCAGTGTGGTGTCTGAGGAAATGTCTTTACCTATTTTTAGATATATTTACTCTCTAAAATGTCTCTTCTCCTTCCCCCAGGCTGTGCCTGTTTCTAGTGCCTTATGCCTCTCCCACTCACTGTCGAACCAGCCGGACCTGGGCATTAGAAACATCTGTGCTGTTCCTCCTGCTACTTTCTCTAGGGTCCTTTCTGTGCCATCCCTTCCCCAACTTCTATGTGGCTTTAGTGCTCCAGCTGGCTCTAGTAATCCAGAAGACACAGAAGATAGCTTTTGGAAAGTTCAGCTACCTTCACTTTCTGGCTCCCGTGTTCGGAATGCGTGCAACCGGTAGACTCTGTTTGGAGTTAGGCTTTTTAAAGAATGGACATTGCTTCTTCACGCAGTAGGAAATGTTTCAGGTGCTGTTTATATATTATCAAGCCTTCTGAATTCTTCACAGCTTAATGAATACGAGTATCTTGAATAAGAGAAAAAATTCGGAGGTGTTTCTTGAGAGCTTTTTGTATTGGGAACCATTCTTCTTTTACCATATATGTTGTTCAAGATTTCACTTCAGTAGCTTGAGAAACCGAACATTTTTCCTAAAGCTAGTTTTAAAAGAAGATGAGGGCCACAAGAATGTTTTGTGTTTTCTTTGCCATGACAACATTGATTATGCATTGTCATAATCTGTAAATGCTTGAGATATAAAGAACCCAGAGCATTGAGGACCAGGTATATACAAGGTCCCACCTGGAAAAATGAGTTCTGCCTTTCCTTTTCTTAGTTCAAGGGTCGAAATACAAAGACACTTCTGCTGCGACCTCAAAATTGAATTTTAAAACTCACTGCACTGATTTTCATGATCTTTGGTTAGTCTCCATGGCTAGAATGAATATAACTTGAATTCTTGCTTTTGCAAACGTTTTTTTCTAAGTTTGCTCAAGAAAAATGCAGCTGTTCTAAACTGGAATTTTTCAGCATTCTTTAGAATTTTAAGCAACTGAAGAGCTCAGCTTTTATTTCTAGCATCTGCTTTTGGCTCAATTTTAAATAGTGTTCATAAAAAAAAATTAAAACACAAATACTTTGGCATTAGTTAATTGGCAAATTATTCTCTGGTGACACAGAATGGAAGGGCATTTTGACCTCTCTGAACTTTGTGAGTGTTTGTCACCAGCTCTTCCATCTGAGTGGTTTTTGCACTTGAGTAAATATTCTCTCAATTTACGTCTTTACATCCAGGTTCACCAATTCTGAAATCCAGATTCCACATGAGCAGGGCACTCTGCGTCATACAGTACTAGGTCACCGGGAAAGTCACGGCGTATTTTTCTAAGCAAAAATGCATCATGACTTTCCTGACCCCATAGAAGAAGGACCTAGTGAATATGTCTTATGCCTCCATGATGTATGATTTCAAAAATCTTTGTCCAAAGCTACTCAGTGATTAACTAAAAAGACCATGGTGTCCCAGGGTTGTGCTAAAACAGCTCAGTAAAGCAAGTAAAAATACGGTGACAGATTTGAAATCATGTTTGAGTTTTATATGAGGACTTGTACAAGAAAGTGCCTGATAGTTTGATGGTCAATTCTGGTGGCCCAGGCAATATAGGAGCTATTATGCAGAGTGGACTTGCAGCAGCCTACCTACAAAAAGAGAAAGCAGAAACTTGTTGATTTACTTATCACAAGTTATCATGTAGCAAAGAATAATAATGACCTAACCTTCAAAACACAATTCCTGTGAGCTGGTAAGGACCCAGTGGGTTGGATCCTCCCACTTGATCCCTCCTTTGAAGTAGATGGGAACTCAAGGTGCAAATAACCTGTTTTAGAAGGAAGCTTGGGGCCATGTCAGCCCTCTGTATTGTCACGATTTTCTCTCAGGGTGTACGCTGGGATTGGCAGACTCCATTTAGCCCCAGGCGACTTACTAAAAATAGTATAAAATTATTCACCTAAGACGAGAATCTGGGTGTTTTAGTTTTAAGTAAAAACGAAAATCTCAGAACACACAGGATGTTAATATCTTAAAGAAAACATGTTCCTTTTAATAGAAAAGTTTATACTGGGTCATCGAGAAAGTCATGACGCATCTTTGCATAGAGAAACATAGAAAAATATGTCATAAATTTCCTGAGGGCCTAATAACTTGACTCCAGAATGTACTGTCCATCCTGATGAGAAAACAAATAGTACCAAACATTTTGAACTTTAAATTATGTGTTTAAATTGAGGGGTTTTTTAAGTAACTATAGCAGCTTCTCTTAAAAGGTGCTTATGAAAGTCAGCAATGGCAATTCTCAGGCCATTATGGGAATTAAATCATGAAGGCTTACTAATATCATAACCAGATTAAAATTCTTCTGTCCAAAGAATTGCCTTCCTTTTAAGTGACAGCGTCACTGTCTTTATCATAAGCTCATGATAGTGTCTCACAATTTCCAAAAGCAAGCTTTCTGTTGTATGGCTGAGTCTAGGAAAGAATAATGTGAAAAGTCCATATGCCCCCATAGTTATTTCATTGTATTAGTGTAGAACCTACAGCATATTTACCTTGAAAATCTTGAAATGTTATTATAAATTCTTAGACACTGAATTCAAAAGAATGCATGTGTACACTGACCGATAAAAGTGTTAGGTGATTTCTAGATCTTTGAAAATCATTCATGAAACAGTGGGCAATCAGTACAGGAAATTCTGGAGAAAACGAAGGCATTCAAAGGGTAGATTGAAAGTTACATCTACATATTCTGAAGGATTTTTAAATTAACAGATAAATTGAAAGGATCTGTATTCAATCACTTGGCAACTATGGGCTTGATGTGTTCAAAAACAAATTTTATGTGGGGGAGCTGTCCCAAGCACACGTCACCTTTCAAAGGTTGAGTTGAGTAAACGGAATTCCGTACTCCTTGCTCATTTCTTTAGACGCAGCAGCCACGTGACACTGCACTTTCTATAAATCTCTAAGGGTGTCCATGTAAAACCATTAAACAAATGTTGAAAAGGCATATGTTTCCTGTGCCACCAAGACCTTTGAAAAATTGTAAACCTTATCCCAAATCACTTATCACGTGCATTAAATACATTTAGGTATAGAATTAAAAAGATATTTACATGATCTTTTTCCACAATGGACACACTTCCTGAAGCTACCAAAACCTGTCAAGCAATGTAAGTCCTTGGACAATGAGTAAAGGTGTTTTCCCAATGAGGAAAATGGCATGTTTCTTATTGGCTCCCTTTTTATATCAGTGCAATTTTCAACCCAGTTTGATACTTACCTATATCTCAAGCATTTCTGATTTGTACTTCAGAAACTAAACCAAAAATATTCCTTTGGCCTTCTCTATCTTCTGACCTTTGCACAGCAGGACTGTAGAAGCAGAAGGGGTCCAGTGGTTAGGATTTTTTTTTCTCAAATTGATTTTTTTAAGGTTTTTCAAAATGCTCTGTTTCTTAGCATTCTGGAGTATTCTGTTTTGATCAATGAATAGGCTTCAACATAATTAGGTTTCCTTGCTACTGTGTGTGTGCTCTGGCTTCCAAGAAGAAAACAACTGAAAATAAATACAGGCTTTTAAAAAGAACCTATTTATTAGTAAATAGTAATATAGCAATTTGAAGTTAATATGGTAGGAAAAGGCAGTGGTAGGTTTTCTTGGGAAAGTCGGTTTTAAAATACACTGACCTAAGAGATGGGCTCTATTTTTATGCCAGTGTATTCCACAAGGTGGCGCTTTCAGAGAAAAACTAAAATCTAATCACGGCTAGAGCCATCCTGAAGGCTTCATTCTAACTTTTATTTTTCTGCACATATTTAACTCTTACCTAGTACTTGTTTTTCAGGATGATGAATAGTCTTCATAATGCTCTGTATCTTAGATAGTTACTAGTTGGGTAGGTTCTGAACAATTGTCAGCAATTAATTGTGCCTGAGGAGTTAAATAAGGAAAGAAAGCCTAAGTCTTCATTTATTTAAAAAAAAAAAAAAAAAAATTTTCTTTGAGGTACCTAATAGCCTCGCTTTTCTGGTGGGATAGGCTTACTAAAAAGGCAGCTGTCATTCGTGAACAGGATAGTTTTGTTAGGGGTATAAAACTCCTGCAGTCAAAACACTCAGACCCTGTCTGTTTTCGCATTCCCTACCATGGTGGCTTTTAGACACTGATTCGATTTTAGAATCTCAATTTAAAAATCAGGTATACAAAATAAGTAGTGCATCAGTCATTTAGTAGGCAAAATTTGTTCTAAAGAATTGCTGAAACAGAGCCCTAGGGGGAAAAAAAAAAGACCTGGTAATTTTTACATTTGTGTCATGACGAATGTAAGTTGATAAGATATTCTAATGTAAGAAAATTTTAAATATATGCAAAATAACTTCAGAGTATCCATATAAGTTTTTAAGTTTGGGGGCAACTTCATGCTGTACGCATTAAGTCTGCTCAGAGACTTGTTCAATCTCCTCCTCCATGATTTAAGTTCATTTTAAAAAGTCACCTTCCTCTCAACAGCGCCACTGAAGTTTAGGAGGAAGACATGATTGCATTTGCAGTGGCCTTAGCACAGTACAACAGAAAGTAGTCTCTTCCTCCTGAGAGGCAGACACTAGGGGGTGCCTGCCCCACTTCCCCCCAGTAGGGCAGGGAGGCGTGTCTCAGTACTTTGCCACACCCACTGGCGGCTGCCGAAGCGCTCTGAGCAATCACTGGCCTCGCTCCTCTCCCCTGCTCCGCCCCCACTCCCTGTAATGTATTGGTAGATCGCAGTGTAAGTCCCTAAGTGAAAGGCCACATTCAGACCTGAGTTCGCCAGCAGTGGGCCACTCTGAACAATGCTCGGGTTAGAAACGTGGCTCTCCACCTGCAAACCTGGCGAGTGCTTGGACTCGTCGCCCCGCCCCTCTGGCTGCAGCCTGGCGGTGGGCTGGTTCGGTGAGGACCGCCCACCGCTCACCTGCCAGCGTCCGGAATTATGTCCCAGGCCGAAGTGCCCTGCTGCTGTCTCGGAGGCATCTGTTGTGCAGTCTTAGGAAGTCAAGCGTCCCTAGAAGCAAACAGGTGTGTCTCTGTGCATAATTAAGTACAACACAATTCACCGAAAGTTCGGGTATAAAGAGATGGCGTAGAAGCTGTGCCAGGCTGTCTACCCAGCGTCTCAAGCTCTAAGCTCAGATTTTTTTTTTTCTTTAAGAGAAGGTGTATAATTACAGGAACTTTTTTTTTTATTATTTTCTATCATTCTGTATACATGATGGCAAAAGATATGCCTCGAAAAGGTCTGTTTTGAAAAATTGTCTCTCTTAGGCCTTGTCTTCAGTTGGCAAAAGCTTCCTGTTTTGTTTCCATCTTCTCTTTTTCTTTTTTAATTAAAGATAGGGAAGTAAATTATCTCATATAGTAGGGGGGGGTTAGCTCCCTCCTGTTCAGAGGGAGCTTTTGTGTGAATTGTTTGGTCGTTGGAATAACCCCTTCTCCATTTTAGGAGTTTGGCTTAACAAATACAGGTGTTTTTAAAGGGGGCACATAACTGTACATATTGACCGCCAAGAACTACTACTATAGCACCAATCAGCAAACATGGAACCACACAATTATTTAATTTTTAACTCTGTGGCCTTTTCCAAATCCTGTTGATGTGCTTAGGTTCAAGTTCTGAAGACACCCTTTTATGCCCTTACTTGAAAGTTTCTAATCTTAAGTTTTATGAAATGCAATAATATGTGTTAGCTAGCAATATTTCTGTGATGTCTGAACAATGACAATAGATTGCAGCCGTAATACATTTCTTAAACCCCCAAGTGTATCATTTATCTTCTTACTCTGGTCCTGTGTTTGCAACGATACACACGTATGTATTCAGTTTCTCACTTTATTCATTTATTTTTCTATGATCAGTAATAAATATATTAGTACATGGAATTAATGCCATCAGCTATCCCTAGGAACAGCACTTAACAGGTGGGGAATTTTTTTTCAAGTTCTACACGTGCATAAATTATTTCTATTATTATTCACGTGTCTTATTTATTTTGGAATCACACTAGTCCTGTGAAGTGCAACTGAAGGCAGAAAGTATTAGGACTTGCATTTAGCTTCACTGTCATAGTCTATATGAGCTAAGAAAGTAAAAATTAGACTAAGCCCCCAAATAGGCTGCATGCATTTTTAACATGATTAGTAGATTTAAGTTTATAGGTAGAGGTTTTTGTGGGTTTTTTTAGTGTCTTAAGTATTTTATCATTATGTAAAGGAATTAGAGAAAAGGATTTTGTAGTCATTTGGTCAAATATGCTATAGATAGTGCAAAAATATAGCAAAAATAAAAGCTAAAGGTAGAAAAGCATCTTAGATACTGCTGTGATCTAGGAAATGTGCCAGATGGCCATAAGAGTAGAAGCCTGGCAGAGACAGGTGCCTGGGCCATGCCCCCAGGCAATCTAATGCCCTTGTAGGTGTCTCGTGTGGTCATGGGAACAGGTAGTACTGTTGAGAGGAGAACATAGGAGGGTTTTTCTGTAGATTCTGAACTGTCAGTTTGTGCCTGAGGCTTCCAGAATGTGTCAGATGGAGAGGTCCAAGTTTCCCTGCATCAGGCAACTTGGCTGTGTACAGAAGCAACCCAGCATGGTAATAAAAACCAGGTGTTGCATATATAATCATCAGTAAAGGGATTTTAACAACCAATGATTCCCAACACCTCAAAAGCTTTGTGTTTCTGGTATTTTAGGTTATGACCTGAAGGTTAAAAGGCAAGTGTTTGGTATAGAAAAGCAGTATGTGTTAAGAAAGGCACAACATCAGTTCCCATAGAGAACAGAATAGAACTAAACCATTTTGTAGGATTATCATTTCTGAGATGTGTGAAAGTATGTTTTCACTATAATATGAATTAGTGTTTCTGCATTCCTATAAGGCCTAGTCCAAACTTCGTCTAGGTTTTGGCAAGGCTGTCACACACTCTCAGCTTTTTATTTTCTGACTTATCATAGAAAATAATTTAAAAGTTAAAAAAAAAATTGGGAGGACGTTTGACATGTTGGTTTCTGTGTTTGAAATCACAGTTCTAGAAACGCAGAGATTATGCGTGTCAGATGCTCATCTAGGCCCTGTGAACTAGGCCAGGGTAAAGAACACCCCCTCACTGCTACATCCCTCTCTCTTCTTCCCTTCCACTAAGATGTTCCCTGCAACCATCCTGGACTGTTCCTATGGTGCTCTCCATACACCTTTGCCAGTCTGTGTGGCATCAGGGACATGGGGCCTTAGGCACCACTGGTGTGCCTGCATGGTCCTGGCCACCAGCCCCACCTGACCTTTGGCTGCTCACAGTCATCAGAATAGTTCCTGATACTGGGCACAGAATGTGTTCATAACATCAGTCAGAAATTGTGTGCATTTTGATTTTTAAGCCAAGTCATCGTACAGAGCATTTAGTTTGGGCTGTGGTACCAAGAGAAAAACTAGCCAAGAAGAAAAGCCACATTCCAGGCTGCTGTCTTTCATTCATCTACAGGCTATACTTTGACTGTATTTCTTCATACTTGAAATTCATTCTGCTATTTAATATCAGGGTACAGACTTCTAAGGGTGCATGTTCCTTCGAGGTGCGTAATTACTCTCATTCCGTTTGCTCATATTGCTACAGAATGCTCTGTTTTGGTGCTTTGGGTTCATCAGGTCAAGGCAGCACTATGGAAATTCATTGCCTGTAACGGATGACTTGGCGTTAGGTGTTACTTCTGCTCTTTTCTCTGTACGTAAGATTGAGAGTTACCACACTGGCCTGTCAAGTCTGCCTGGATATCCTTCCTTTTGGGTTTATAAACCCCGTGCTCTCCCCAGGGTGGGTGCAGCTCATTGCTCTGAAAGCAGAGACCTTCCTTCCTATCTGGAATATTTAGCCTTTAAGGAAGATTGACCTTGGGCGTCGACAGCAACAGAATGGAAAGATCCATCTCACTCTTGACGCCATCCATTGAGCACCCCTCCAGTTAACCATCCCTCCATCCCATACAGAAAGCCCTCCGGAGATGCAATAAAAGAAACAAAATCTATCTCTGGGCTTTCCCTCCTCAGAGCTCCCTGAGCTGAGTGTTCTCGCTTCTTTTTCTTGAGGCAGATGAAAATACAGGTCAATGTATCTAGACCCTTGCCATCTGCAAAGGAGAATAGAAAAGCAGGTGTTTGTGTCACATAAAATATGTCATTGAAGGCCCACCAAAACTTCCATTAAATACCCCATCACTAGAAAAAGTAGTTCCAGTAAGGGGTGCTTTATGACATGGAGTTTCTGAGGTCACGAGTAGCCATGCTTGCATGCACCTTACCCTCAGACTTCTTGGAGAGGAAGAACTGTGGTGGTGATCCTGTTGCAATGGCAAAGATAACATGTTTGACAATTCAGAGGGTTACAATCCATAATCCTTTGGAAACTGGATGTCTTATTGGGTGCTAGGTTGCAAAATTAGGTATTTATTGTCAGATCATGGAATTCATTGTTTTTTTCAAAATTGGTGTTAACATGTCACTGTTGATGTTCACTTATGCAAAGCTAAAATGAAGCAAAAAGAAAATGGTTTGTATATTTGTCATACCTTTTGTATTACAGTAAAAATATTCGTAGCAAATAAAAATAATAAAACCAGCATTTTAAAACTGTTTGCTTGGAGATAAATTACTCTCCCGGCTACTTTTTATTTTAATGTAAAATGACTATAATTGCAATGTGAGAACATATCATTTAGGAAGTTTAGCAGAATGTGTTTTAAACTTTTAAGAAACTCCTTTTTAGGATTCCAATTAAAAAAAAAAGTAAATCGCAACTCACTAAGCTTAGAGTTCATTTAGTAAATATTTCTCAAACCTTTATTAGTTGGCTATGCTAAACACTGAAAATCCAAGATTGAGTGAGTCGCGGCCATTTCTTTCCAAAGCTTACAGGTAAGACAATGGGATGTGAAAGAGATCTATGTAACTAAATGCTGATAATGAGCAAGGTTTCACATCCAAAATAATACTGGAGGAGACTCAAAGAAATGTCATTGTTTGCCAGTCACAGAAGAAATAGTTTTTCTGCTCACGCAAAAGCCTAGAATTAGGAAAGGGCACGGAGATTAGAATACTGTGCCTGGGGGTAGCAGCTTCCAAACATCTGGGTCATAACCAATAGGAAGAAATATCTAATAGCAGGATCCAGTACACACACGCACAAATATTCTGAACCCTTTTCTTCTAAACTGTGTACAAACGGAGCCTTCAGATAATTCTGCTACACTCGCGTAGAACCACTTTGCATTATGAACTTAGGAGCTGTCTGCCACTCACTTTCCCCTTTGAATGTCAACCCAATTTGCACTTTGCTGTTGTTCAGGGAGAACTGCTAGAGTCAGGGGTGCGTCCTGGAAGGACATATTTGTTTTGCAAAATTACATTTCACGCAATGACACTCTGTGTCCCACATGTGAGCTTTTCTGTTTTATTAGCCTCTACTTTGAAAATACTGGTACCTAAAATTGATTTCATAGCCCCATAAATAGTCCATGACTTAATGGCTTGAAAATAGTGGAAAGGGAGATGGGTATGTGAAGGAGGGTCAGGAGGTGAGGTCATATATGCCATAAAAAGGAGTTTGAAACCACTGAAGGATTGCAAAGGGGGAGACCATTTCTGTTCATGTTGGCCCATTTTTGTTCAACCACTCACGGACTAGAGGCAGGTGATTGCTAGACAAAGCAGCACTGAGATTACATGAAGAAAAAAAAAAAAAAGAGGGACTATAATTGCTGTCTGATACGTATTTATTTTCCTCTTGGTATATAGTAGCAAGGATAAAATATCAGGTAAGTTTAATTATTTTTAATGCTAGAGAAAGAAAGGACCTCCTCTTGCTCCCCATTAACAACCAGGCCTGGTTATGCTGTAGTCCTTTTTCTCCCCCAATTCTCCATCCCATGAGGATCCTGAGTGTGCACACATGGGCCCACTGACTGTGTTGCCTCCAGGACTGTATTTGAACCCCAGTTGGCCATGGAGGATCTATTCCTATGCTTAGCACTTCACTGCTGCACTTTGGGGCCAGCCCTTATCAGATATGAGGGGTTTTTTGGAAGAATTATTTTTTATTTGACTTTATTTGAAAGAAAGTGAATGACAGAGAGAGAAAGTGGGAAAGCAAGCCACCAGGTCTGGGACTCAAACCATGGTCAGCCATGTGGGAGTCCCACGCCCTTAATCACCACACCATCTGCTGACCCCCAGATGTGTTTTAATTAGACCTCCAGAATTCCTCCTGGAAACTCCCATTATGGTTTGCCTTTCTTTCTTTCTTTCTTTCTTTCTTTCTTTCTTTCTTTCTTTCTTTCTTTCTTTCTTTGGAGAGGTTTTTGCTATAGGGTGCATGCGCTCACCAGAAAGAGACAGACAGAAAGCAAGAAATCACCCCCCATGGGGGATGGCCACGTGCAATCAAAAAAAAAAGAGGGACTATAATTGCTGTCTGATACGTATTTATTTTCCTCTTGGTATATAGTAGCAAGGATAAAATATCAGGTAAGTTTAATTATTTTTAATGCTAGAGAAAGAAAGGACCTCCTCTTGCTCCCCATTAACAACCAGGCCTGGTTATGCTGTAGTCCTTTTTCTCCCCCAATTCTCCATCCCATGAGGATCCTGAGTGTGCACACATGGGCCCACTGACTGTGTTGCCTCCAGGACTGTATTTGAACCCCAGTTGGCCATGGAGGCTATATTCCTATGCTTAGCACTTCACTGCTGCACTTTGGGGCCAGCCCTTATCAGATATGAGGGGTTTTTTGGAAGAATTATTTTTTATTTGACTTTATTTGAAAGAAAGTGAATGACAGAGAGAGAAAGTGGGAAAGCAAGCCACCAGGTCTGGGACTCAAACCATGGTCAGCCATGTGGGAGTCCCACGCCCTTAATCACCACACCATCTGCTGACCCCCAGATGTGTTTTAATTAGACCTCCAGAATTCCTCCTGGAAACTCCCATTATGGTTTGCCTTTCTTTCTTTCTTTCTTTCTTTCTTTCTTTCTTTCTTTCTTTGGAGAGGTTTTTGCTATAGGGTGCATGCGCTCACCAGAAAGAGACAGACAGAAAGCAAGAAATCACCCCCCATGGGGGATGGCCACGTGCAATCCTTTCTCCTCCATTCTCTTCTCGGGATCTTGGGCACGCACGCACTCATGCCCAGCATGAGTTTAAGCCACCGGGTCCGGGACTCGAACCGAGGTCGACTACATGGGAGTCCAGCAACATAGCCATTATGCCAACTACTGGTCCCATCTTTATTTTTTTATAGACCCTAAATTGCATTTAACTTTAAAAGAAGTATTTATAAGGGATAAATACAAAGAGTCAAAATTTTACCTTTTTTAAGAAATTCAGTGTTTGCAATATATTAAGAGGCCAGTCGAACAATACATTTGGTTTTCACACACTGTACGCATCTACAACCAGGTTCTAATAGATCATTTTCTTTGCAGTTGTGTACAAACATCCTTCAGTTATTTCTGCTATCCTCACTTAAAACCACAATCCATTAAGAGCCTAGTAGTTCATTGTCAGTGATGTCATTCTTTTGGAGTGGCCGTCCAATTTACATCTCCCGTTTTCCCAGGAGGCCATATTTGTTTTGCAAGTTCCATTCTCCTGAACATAGCAGATGGAACAACCAGATTGTCCATAAATGTGAGACTAACAAACTGTGCTTCGATCTTTTACATACTTGGAACTGCTGCCTGTAAGTTTAAGGCCGCAGGTGACTATATTTCCCACGTGCACAGAGAACCATGCAGAGCACATCTGTAGAGGGAAAAGGAAATAAGCAGAGAATGGGCCCAGGTAACTCGCTTCCTATTCCCTATTCTCTGAACTGTCCATGTTTTTTTAATGATAATTGCCTCCAGTTTTTTTGTCTGTTTTTATTTTTTTCACTTAGGTAGCTCAAGTAAATTTCTACTAATTGCAGCAAAAGTCCTAATACATCCCTCTGTTCCCCATTAGTTAGGGCCCCTGCTCTGCACTGGAATTTCAACCTATTGAAAAGCTAGAAGGAAAAAAAAAGAGTGTTCTTATTTAAGCATAGACAAGAGTAAACAGGGAAGAGCATGTGCTTTTCAAACGAGTTTCCAGAAACCTGGGGAATGCAAGAGAGAACACAAAGCTATGGATAAATAAATGATGCGTACCTTACTTAACCAGCAATTTTATTTAAAGAGAAAAAATGATTTTCATTAAAAACACTGTTTTGTTTTTTGCTTTGGTTTTGGTTTGTTTTGGTTTTGGTTTTGGAGAACTTTTTGCTATAGGGCACGTGTGCTTGCCAGAAAGACAGAGAGAGACAGAGAGACAGAAAACGAGAAATCACCCCCCAGGGGGGATGGCCACGCCGCAGTCCCTTCTCCTCCATTCTCCTCTCAGGATCTTGGGCATGCACGCACGCACACACACCCGGCGTGAGTTTAAGTCACCGGGTTTGGGACTCAAACCATAGTCGACTACATGGGAGTCCAGCAACGTAGCCATTATGCTAACTGCTGATCCCAAAGACTCTATTTATTTTTAATACATAGAAAAGATATTGTGGGAATAGAAAGCAAAATTTAAATTTTAGGGTAATATACTTTTATAGACTTGTTTTTAAAAACACACACATTTTTATTTAAAAAAAAATAATATGGATGACTTCAAAGACACTATATGACTTGAATGACTTGATACATTCCATCTCCATGGGCAATGTCAAGAAGCAGTGCATCAGCAAGGAGCAGACATAGGCCCTAAGAATGGGACCCGTTGTTCTAAATGCTGTACTTTCTCCAGGAAGGACTCCTCATTGGAAATTGTCATCTACCTACCCTACAGTGTATCTAGAAAAATAATAAAATTCATTTAGACATATTTACTGGACTTCTACCATCAATCTCAGCTTTCAAAGAGCATCTTTTACCGAGTCAGAAATGTAAAGAGGCATCCGGTAGTTCATTATATAAATGGTGATACTTCGTGATAATAGACCCTCCCTGTTGCTCCTTAGATTTCATTGCTTTACAGTGAAATTTAACTGCAGGTGCAGCAAAAAGGAGAAGGAGCCTATTAACCTCCAGTGAACCTCTATGTGTCATGCCATTCAAACAATTTTATTTCAAGTCATTCTCACTTCAGAGAGAGAATAAATAGATGATGTAGTCAACTCCAAAAAGTTCTCCAAGAAGTTTGAATATAAACAAAAAGAAATGCAACTGCATGATCTACCATATAGTGGTGCCAGAAACAGAGTAGAAGTTCATTAACCGTGGTATGAATGAATAAATGAGTTTCCAGTGACCGGATGACTTAAATCAAACTGCTGACATGTGAAAATAGATGCATGCACAGCACTGCTCAGAAATACTGTTTCTAATCATGAAAAACAAGTGGTGGAAAGAAACATCTATCAGTAGGGGATTGGTTAAGTAAATTCCAGTATATTTACACAATGGTACACTATTCCACCATAACAGATGGTCATTTATTACAATGACAGAATAGAACATTTATTGCAATGACAAGTTATCCAGGGTCTTCTGTAAAGTAACAAACAGTACCCAATGCACAACTTATTAAACGGGACATAGCACCCATCATTGTAGTGTAA